AAAGGTTACTTTTGTTAAATATGTATTTGTTTGTTGTTTTTTTTTTTAAATTGTAAATTGGTTTTGTTAGTTGTAAGAGTGAAATTTTGTGTTTATTTTGAACTTTACAATTATTTATCACCATTACAGCAATGTCTGTAGTAACGAATCCCTGTTATTTGAGGGACAAGTTTTATTCATTTCTAATACTGACAATATGCACTACACTCTAAGGATTCTCCGTCCTAGTTACAAATAGAAGGACGAATAATGCAGAAGTTCTGAAATCAAAATTTCCACAGATATATTGCAGCTATTGTCGAACTTCTGCATTTTCTGGTTGATTCTATTTTGGTTTTGTTACTAGAAATTATTTCAAATTGGACGGATGCTTAAATGAGGAAACTGTCGTGAAAATAATTATTGACATCTCTTTTTTCCAATGCTTCGAGAGTATTTAACTGCGAAAAAAAGATTCCTAAATGCTAAAAACGGACAACATGTTGATTCCTCAATTATAAAGGATATATGTTTTTCGTTTATTGTATAAATGTTGACAATTAGTGCACTTAAGAGCAAATCCCCGCAAAAGTCAAACTGAACTCGAGTTTTGAATTAAGCGTGATCAACCTACTATACAAATTAAACCAGGACACCTATCCATGGAACGATGATTTTTTTTTCAGACGCTTGGAAACATGACGGAAATCAAGGTATTCGCAATATTTCAGCACGCACATCTCCTCGGCAGAGGTATCAAAACAAGGCACTTCCGAAATGGTAGCGAGTTATCTCCCTTGGCAACGGATCCTCACTACGATTTTGATTTCCAAGAGACACGTCTTCTTAAGGAGGAAATTGCAATTATACGTGTACGTGTTATATTTTTTTATCTTGATCGATATTATTTTTGGGAATAATAGTTGAATCTTTGGATGCGTGTGTTTGGTTGGTTGTGTGTGTGTGTGTGTGTGTGTGTGTGTGTGTGTGTGTGTGTGTGTGTGCGATTTAGATTTGTAACATAGCTTTAACAATTATTCAGTCATATCGCTATGATGTCTGCAGTGTGACAGTTTATAGGGATGTCTAGCACTCGGGCATCATGCTGCAGACTTGAGGCATGATGTCCCATCCAGTAACATTTTCCTTACACATGGACCAGGCAAGGCAGCTGTTAGCACCATTTTGCAAAGTCTTTGGTATTACTTAACCGGGATTCCAACCCGCGACCTCCCGCCTCCAAGGCGGACCTTCTAACCACTAGGACACCGTAGCGGTCTAATAGTTCACTTGAGGATTACTTTGTTTATTACGAGAAATAGATAATATTGTCATTGACACTGTAACTGTGGTTTCTGTAATTCATTGCACAAATTACTTTAGATATTGGTTACTATGGTTTAGTTGGTAACTGAAGAACCACGGAGGTGATATTATCCATTTCAACGTTATTTGAAACAAGATATAGTTTCCATAACCAGGGAGAGATATAATTTAATAACACCAGAGATTCTTCAGTAAAATATGTCTGCAGTGCATTGATTTACCTATTTGTAACGTTTGTTAATCCCGCTATTCTTCATTATTACTATTTCTATAATGATTGGAACAATTTTGTATCTATATAATTTTAGTGAATAAGAGCCACACCTCTATACACGTGAATCAGTGTACACCCATTGAAGCTAGATAAAATAAAACACAAAGACTTCGTGGCAGTACTTCATTATTATAACTGAACTTTTTATATGTTCAACGCGTAGTTTACCTGTTTAATCCGTCTATCAATGGCGTATTAACGACCCAAAAGTTTTGCTGATAATGGGAATGGGGCTAATATTCTTGTTACACATAAACCTTCTCTCTATAGACACACACATAAACACGTACATACACACATGTATATATTTATGTATAATTTTAGTACATAAGAGTCAGGGCTCTTCACGCGTGGACTGATGTGTATTCGTTAGAGCTTTGTTAATCATAAAACAATCTAAATACACCAAGATGATGTGGACTGGTCATCATAATTAAGTCTGGCGCTGCCAGAGGTTGAGGTATAACCGAAATTCTTACTATGCCAATTCTCTCTCTCCACCCCACCATATATATATATATATATATATATATATATATATATATATATATATATATATATATATATATATATATATATATATATATATATAATAACGAAGACTTTATATAGCGCCTAATCTTATGAAGCTTCCAGTGCTTTACAACATTGACAACGCTTAAAAAGAATTAGAAAAAGCATATATAATGAAATTATTACGAAATTAAAAACAAACAACACCCACCCCCCACCCCCATATATATATATATATATATATATATATATATATATATATATATATATATATATATATATATATATATATATATGCAATACTTTTGTGTTTGTGTTTAAGTGTTGTTCACACTTCTTTCCTATAGTCATCTTTTAGATTCTCTGCCCTCTCTTAATCTCTAGAATGCTTTAGTACAATGGCAAGAGAAGAAAATGTTATAAAATAAAAGAAGAAACAAAATTCGGTAAGTGGTTATTGACCACGTTAGTGAATAGTTCAATATTCAAAGTGATTGTAATAAAGTTTACTGAAAAATCCATTGTTTTGACTTTTTCAGGGAGACAGTTTTATTGTTGAATGTACTTACGACTCTAGTAGGAGAAGTGCAGCAACTCTGGTAAACAGAAATAGAACAGTGTAGTAAATCTGGATATATATATATATATATATATATATATATATATATATATATATATATATATATATATATATATATATATATATATATATATATATATATTTGTGTGTATGTGTGTGTGTTTATATGTACAACTACGTGCACGATGGCACAAGGTACATTTCAAACATTGATAAAACAAAACAATGGACAAAACAGGATCGTCTTATTCTTATACAAACTATTTTGATGAAGTATGTGAGAAATTAAATTCAGGCATAATGTAATTTATTGTATTCTCATTTATTGACAGATGGTTGAACCAGCATTCAATACAGATGTTTAATATGTGATTCATAATCTCCCATCTAACACTTGAGTTTATAACTTGAAGTATTCCAATTATACCACTTATAAAATATTCGGATTTATTGTACACTTTAAATTATTAAAACTATCAACAAACGTTTGAAATTGTAAAAAATGCAGTCGGATTGGGTGAAAATGTCCGCTTTAGGAGATAATGGAGGAGTACCGTAAGTTTCGATAATATATTTATAGGCATTTTACCGTGCTTACCAATAAGAAATTACATTTGGTTGAGGTTTGGACAGAATATTTGACAATGAGTTTAGAAAGAAACTGTGCAAAGTGACTATACAAATGACAGAGTTTGAGCGACTAAGAACATTGCCACTTACATTTTGTACTGAAAGTTAAAAAAATCCAGACACAATAACGAGTCAAAGTCATGTTGACGTTCAAGGCATGGATCGGCAATCCCATGCTTATATCCGACTTTTAGTTGGTTATTTTAATGAAATAGAATGGTTTGCACCATTATTAGATACTTTTAATAGTTACAATACAGCTAATGGTTGACAATTAATGAACAATATCTACCGATACAATGCAAGGCTAAGGCATTTTAAGTCGCTTACTGCCCTAAGGCTGATACGACTGCTTACAGTCCCGGGCGTTGACTGCTGTCCCTTTAAGAGGGCACTTGGCCTTGGTGCTAGGCCTTTTACCAGACCCCTAGAGGTTAGAGACCACAAAAAAGACCTTATAAAGCATAATGTAATCGAAGGCAAAGGCAGATCCCCAACTAGCTCTTCCACTCGGGCCACAACTCCCGCCCACCAAAGTCCCCAATTTCTAAGTCCACCTAACTTTATCTCAGGTGGACTATTGTGTCAAATTTAACCAGTTTTTCCTACGGGTGTCCCTATACCAATGATGTGTTAGCCACCTGTTAAATTTTCCAAATGTTCCTGATTTGTGAATTTTGAATATAATTTGATGAGGTTGAATTTTGCGTACTTAGCGTACTTATATGGTTCAAAATAAGGATTCAATCACTAGGTGTATGCCACTTAATTTTAACATTTATCACGCTTTGACAATGGATCTCGTTTTAACCTTGGGTCTTCCAGGCCAAAGTGAAGACATAGGTTGTAGGCTCATTTCTGAACAGTTGGCCGAGCGGCCCGGACTGTCCATCGCTAATTGTTTGTCCGTTCCAGGGGTTGGGTTTTGGGACAGCAGGGGGATGGAGGTTTATCCTGCATGGTCCCTTGATTTGTTTTGAAGCAAGATCTGACTGTGTGAGCTGGGCGGGGTTTTTGTGGTATGTTAGATAATGCTGTCTAACTATCCCTTATTTGATTTGGTAGCAATTTTGAATTGTAGATTCTTTTCTTTCTTGTCAATGAAATTATGTATTCTTTTCTGACTACCTTCCAGGTAGTGTTGGTTCCGTCATCTTGTTCTAGTTGAGGTCTTCTTCCTTTATGGGATAGCAGTTAGAGCTGACTGTATATCCCTTACTTGATTAGGCGAATTTTGTATTGCGTATTCTTTTCATATCTACGGATCCAGTATTTTATCTTCAAATACTGAACAAAGGTTGCAGCGACCTTAAAGAAAACGGTGTAAGAAGCGAACAATAAAAGCTTCTGAACTCTGCACCCGATGTTCTCGTTCCCATCCTCAACACTAAAGACACAAAGTGTGTGTGTGTGTGTGTGTGTGTGTGTGTGTGAGTGTGAGTTTGAGTGTGTGTGCGTGTGTGTGATTTGAATAGTTTAACGTAGATTTAACACTTTTTCAGTCATATCGCTATGATGTCTGCAGTATGATAGTTAATAGTGATGTGTAGCACTGGGGTATCATGCTCCAGACATGTAACATCATGTCTCATCCAGTCACATTTTCCTGACCCCAGTATGACCATTCCTAACACTAACCGTTTAATGCTGAGCGTCAAGCGAGGTTGCTGATAGTACCATTTTTCAAAGTCTTTGGTATGACTCAGTCGGGGTTCCAACCCGCGACCACGCGCATCTGAGGCGAAACGCTCTAACCACTAGGCCACCAGAGCGGTCAAGACACAAAGATAAGATTTTCCTCAATGTATATCATCTTAATCTAGTCCGCATGTTAGAAAGAGACACAATCTTCGTTGGTTAAAAATATGTACTTAAATTCTAATCTTTAAATGTAATCTAATAATAATATTTTTTAATTTAAAAATAAAAATAGATAATTTGAATAAACTGTAAATTTACGAGCTTTCTGTAAAGATTTAATTACATTTATTCTGTACAATTTGTCCTTAACGTTTGCTCTGAAGTATAAAGTGTATTCAATAATAAGGGTGCAAAAAAGGGTCAATTAATGGTCTATATTGTGTTTTATTGGGAAGTAAGGCCTGTGACTACAATTTAGATCCCTTTCATTGTCTCTTACCAAAACTTGCAAATTTCAAACAAGTTAAAGCTGACATGAAAAAAAAAAACAACTTTATCAGCAATCCAGACAGACCAATGACGCAAGTGCACAGTATATATGTTGTTTCGGACCCGCTTAGATACGTCTCATGGTGATTTTCCAAAGGTTCTACGCTATCTTTCAAAAAATGCCACTTTCCTAATTGATCCTTTAAGTATTCATTAAAATATTGATCATAATGTGTGAATCAAGAACAGATAATGGAAAAACAAAAGTATTTTGCTCTGAAAGAACTCCCTTGATCTGGCGTAAGAACATACGTCTGGGCTTGACTGCATGGAAACATTCATACTCGGTCTGAAACATGTTATTTCCACTACTCGGTACACAACACATATAGGTTTCTCTATGTTATGAAATATGATATTTAAGTTATACGATACACGAGGCTTTTTGAAAGTCTTATGAATTTATTCAAGATAATGAAATTTAGGATTCCGAGTGGTATGTGTGCTACGTAAAAATATAGCTACAGCCGATACAACAATAACACTAAGAGGCAAGAATATATATATATATATATATATATATATATATATATATATATATATATATATATATATATATATATATATATATATATATATATATATATAAAGTGCAATACATGCGACACTCTCAATAGCCGCAACAGTCTACCACTTGAAGATTGAGTATACTAAACAGAAAACATTTACCTTTCCTACCGCACTTTTGAGTTTCACAACTCTCTTTACACGTTCGGTTTTGAAATTTAAATATTCTTTTCATGTTTATGTATGGTGGTATTATTATCGTACAATTTAGCCCTTTTAAAATAAAGGATAATCGCATTCTTCTGTTTCATATCTACATAGGGTATCCTATCGAATACACCACTTTCTATTCAGTCTTATCAGAGGTGGTTTTTCTTGTTTGTGATTAGAATGGATTCTCCTTTTTCATATGATGATTAATTAACTAAACATGCAGCATCCTCCGTTTCATTGCCTGAATGGACTATCAAACATTTTTGTTTGTTATCAGTTTGTCAATCGGAAATAGAAATCATTATCGCCTATTAGCGTTATTCCGCAGAACAACAGTCCAAATAAATTAAAATAGTTTGTAACATCGACCTTACTCAACCCAGCTAATGTTTTTATTAGTTATCAAATATAATAAAATTTATTCCTACAGAAACACAAGTCCAGTATTCTTTTCAGTAACTTTCAAAATCATACTGAACTAGCCAAAGGTTGCCAAGTAAAGACTGTAGACCATCAGCGTTGCCATCTAATCTGAATAGCAAATTCTGTGAAACTCATCGTTGCGCAAAACTAGTGACTACGTGCAAAATCACTGTCGACCAATTCTCTAAAACAAATGGAGATTCCAATTATTGCCACTGAAATCAAGGAAATCAAATGTAAATACATTTTTGTATCCAGAGAAAGGTTTGCACATCAGCTCAGGGTATTTGGTATCACGTATTAAGAGTATTCTTCTTCAAAGAACAGCAGCTCCCATAATTAAGTAAATCTTTCATTTAAAAGTATATAATAAAATCATAACTAGTTAGGCAGTTTGATTTTGAGGACTACAATTTCTTGAGTTTTGCTGTATCAGGGTTTTAGTCCATCGTGAGATACACTAATATAACACACACACACCAGAGATGATTACAGGATATCCGATATGTAACACTGTAATAATGCGTTGTCATACTTTAATAGGGTGGACTATCGACCCGAGATGAAATGTGTCTGAGCTTTCTACTCTACTACCCCAAAGTCGCGCTCAAGCAATGCGTTAGTAGCCCGAACTACGACAGCATATCTAATGATAAAAACCGTCTCTGGCCAATTTTATCAACCTACAACTGGACTACTCAACACAACAGAGACGAATTTAAACAGAAGCTCAGTGAGTCTAGCATATTCCACTTCTGTCAGGGGGACACTATGGTGCCAAAGGTAATTTTTAAAATTTATTTTGTGTCCGCTGGCATGTCTGTCTGTCTGTCTGTCTGTCTGTCTGTCTGTATGTCTGTCTGTCTGTCTGTCTGTCTGTCTGTCTGTCTGTCTGTATGTATGTATGTATGTATGTATGTATGTATGTATGTATGTATGTATGTATGTATGTATGTATGTATGTATGTATGTATGTATGTAAGTATGTATGTATGTATGTATGTATGTATGCATGCATGCATGCATGCATGCATGTATGTATGTATGTATGTATGTATGTATGTATGTATGTATGTATGTATGTATGTATGTATGTATGTATGTATGTATGTATGTATGTATGTATGTATGTATGTATGTATGTATACATGCATGCATGTATGCATGTATGTATGTATGTAATTTGCTTCATATCATCTGTACATTTCTGCAAAATTATATTTCTGGTAACATGTATTGAATAATTTGAGATTACCAATACACAACAATTAAACTGGAAAACGGTTCCTTTAATTATACATTGACAAGAATTTGAATCCACAGAATTTTCAGAGTGTACAAAGTACAGATAATCGTTGAGTTAAGCGTATTGTACATGCAAATATTTTCATTATCAAGTGTTTTGCCATAATCTCAATTTTACTTTGATAAAAATGGTATCATTGAAAATAATTTAAATTGATTGGGCATTTTCTAAGTCATGTCGATTATACTGGATACTTTCACAATGAGAGAGAGAGAGAGAGAGAGAGAGAGAGAGAGAGAGAGAGAGAGAGAGAGAGAGAGAGAGAGAGAGAGAGAGAGAGAGAGAGAGAGAGAGAGAGAGAGAGAGAGAGAATTAATACGTTTTAATGATTTAGTGTTGAATAGCAAAATATCAATTCAACTTTCTAAGTCAGGGATCTCTTCATATCGACATTTGATTTTATATTTAAAGATTAACTCGCTTTGTTGATTAAAAATCCCCATTCAAGTGAATAAATGATTGTCTGGATAAAAACAAGTTATTCCCAAGGTATTAATATATAATTGTACTTGGACTTCAACAAACAGAGCTATTAAAGCATGTGAACGTTTGGCAGTCAAGTAATGAAATTACGGGACAATCATTTACAGCATATGATCATAGTTTAATTCATTCCATGAACCATTTCCGACAGTACTTGATATGAGCTGAAAAGAATTTGATGAATTAATAATTATACTGAGTTTTAGAAAATCAAATTATGTTAAGAAAGCAACATATATGATAAAAATACAGTCAAATAGTTTCATAATAATAAATCTATAGAAGGTGTCTGTGGTCAAACGAAATAATTTTTTTAATTCACATCGCTCATACTTAGTTTATTATAGTTCAATTTAAGTAACAAATTACTAGGGGACAAGGAAGAAGTCAAAGGAATGGTACAAATAATTGTATGCCCTTGAGAAAGATCTTGAGAGGAAAATAAATTATGCATAGTTGTCTCATAATTAAGATATCAAAATGCAATTGAAGCAATACCAGTTCGCAATAACATATATATCAATCCTTATACCCATATTCTACAACCATTTTTGACTTTATGAGTGGGGAGGAGATATATTCAATACAGCGAAAAATATTAACTACAGAAAATATGTTGCGATCAATAATGGATGTTGCGTTAAATATGAACTTCCAACGACTAAGGTCCTAGATGGTAATTATGAACCGTGTTCTTGACTAGATATATCACGAAATTTTAGGTTCAACATGCTTGCCGCCTTGCACAATAATATATGCAGCCACCTTGACCGTGATATGCTGACCAAATGGACTCTGTGTATCTGATGCTCAGATTTATTTTTGTTTAAATAGTGCTAGTCGTACGTGAAGATTACCCTAACATGTTTTACACACTAACTCAGCCGACAGATGGAAAACCTTTTTTTTAGTTTTTGAATTCCCTTATACCATTTGTTTCTTCATTCTGGTTGTACATGATTACAAAATATTGTCATTTGAACTTACAAAATATCATGATATTTTTTGCGGTGTAATGCAGGTTAAAAAGCTGCCATAGGAAATGCTTTCTTGTCTCGAGCATATGTTATAGATGTGTTTATAATTTTTACATTCCAGACATTGAAGTATATCTTCCATGAAAAACCACCGGTGCATGTCTACGTTCCACCAAAATCATCAACGTGCCCTCAGGAATAATGACTAATACATATTCTTTCTATTTTAATTAACCAAAGATACAAGAATGAACTGAAGTTAGAGAAACAAATCGTGTTTTTTTTAAATGTTAGACGCCATATTCTTTATATACTATAGGTTATATTTTATATCTAAAGATGTTCTATTATATATATATATACATATATACATATATATATATATATATATATATATATATATATATATATATATATATATATATATATATATATATATATATATATATATATATATATATATATATATGCGTGTGTGTGTGTGTGTGTCTCACTTTTCATTCTTAAAAATCATGCTTGCTAGTATTTGCAAATAAAATGATGTTTACTTGTATTCGCAAACGAAATTAACAAATGTAGTCAGAAATATATTTTTATAATGAATGTAGCATTCCTGATAGCAAGAAATGAGCAAATTATAAAAAGCGAATATAAAGAAAGCAAATGGGGATAAAAAG